AAATAAATGGAAAACCATAGTGAGCATTGTACCAGCCTTTCTGCAGGTTTAAAACACACAGAGGTGTACATTTAAGTTAACCCACAAAGAGTCGTGCATTAAGATTTGGGATAAGGGGGTTTATAAGGACCCTGGCATCATGTAACTTGTTACCTTGAATATAAAATTAACCTCTGATCATCACTGTCACATGGATCTTAAAATAGTTCATGTGTTCAACTCAGAGAACTGGTTTCAAAACAAATGCTATCATTAGGTTACTTTGTAAACCCCCAAATGCTGTGAAAATGTGTGATATTGTATTATGTGTAATCCAAATAATGTCATGTTTATTTTAGTCTGCAGATTAATTGTAAAAAAAAAGGGGGGGGGGATTATATAATTAAGTCTATAGTTACTTGGGTAAGATATCCACAATTGATATAAAGGGGAGTTTTCTTTATTTTATTTTTCTTTCATTTCTCATTATTAGCTTCACTCTTTTGACAAATATTTATCGATCTCTTAAATTTTGTTAGGCCCTGTGCTGTGTATTGGGAAATAAACGTGGGAACGGCACTGTGTTAATAGCATGTGTTTCTTTTCCTGGTGGGAATATAAATTGGTATAGTCTGTTTAAAAAGCAATTTGGTGATATTTTTTGACAGCCTAAAAAAATTCATCTTATTTTGATCCAGTAATAATATAATTATGTTCTAAGGAAATAATGGTGCAGACTAGAGCCGCTAAGTGAAGGCTGACTGGCTGGGGGTGAGTGGTAGTGGAAACTCACGCTGGGCTCCAATCCCCAGTCCCGCTTTCTGATTAGGGTCTTTCTAGAGAGGGCATCCTTTCTAGTTGCACAAAGGGGTCATCCAGGCTAACAGGCTCCAGTGTACACAAGATTTACATAGAAGGGTGTTTAGTTGTTGTTAGTAATAGCAACAGATCATAACCTATTAGACAATGGAGTATTATGTATCCCTACAATGGGGTATTATAAATTTTTGATTAAGCATTAATAAATTGGCTCGTGAAAACGCTCATGGCGTTTTAAAATGTGGAAAAAAAATTACACAACCACATTTTGAGATATAAGGAGCCAGAAAGTAAGATTGAAGCCAGTTTTGAAGTACCGGTATATTCTGTTAAGAAGTTGGAACTGATTGATTTAGATATATTTTAAAGACTAGGAAGGACAATATGTGTTTGATAAGAACATGGTGGTTTAAATGACTTTTCAGTTCTTTCAAGGGATTCCATATTATGGCTTCATAATGTAAAACAGAAGAATTATACTCTAAATTTTAAGAGAATATTTCTAGTCTGCCACTTGGTATTAAAATATTATATTTATATTATACTAGAGGCCTGATGCATGGATTTATGCATGGATGGGGCCTGGCTGGCCCTCCCCAATTGGAGCCAATTGGGCCAGGGTGGCCGGGAGGAGGGGACAAGGGAGGTTGGCAGGCCAGCCTTGCCAGTAGTCGGGGTGGGGGGGGTGGGGTGATCAGGGGAGGAGCCATGGGCGGTTGGTGGGCCAGCCCTGTCCCCCTATTGGGGTAAGGGGGCCGGCCAGGGGGAGGGGCTGGAACTGGCCAGGGAGAGGGGCCATGGGTGGTTAGCCGGCTGGCCCCATCCCTGGTCAAACTCCCAGTCAAACTCCTGGTCTAACTCCCGGTTGAAGGGACAATTCGCATATTAGCTTTTTATTATATAGGATTGATTTTTTTTTTAGTAATGTTTCTAGTTGTAGTAAAAGCTATAGTATGCATTAGGATGTATGTTTTTGAGACATAAGAGACATATATAAGAGAGAGAGACAGACAGAGACAGGAATATATGTGTATATATATCCATATGTGTGTGTGTGTGTGTGTGTGTGTGTGTGTGTGTGTGTGTGTGTGTGTATATTGATGAGGATTCTCTCTTTATCTTTTGCTCTTGGCATTTAAAACTGGGATAAAATTAAAGCCAGTTCCCTTTACCGGCTACACCCATGTGAATTCTAGTACATTTCCTTTAGGGTAGGGCCTTATGAGTGAGTGAACTCTTTCTTTTTGTTCAAATGTATGGAAATACATGCAAAGGAAACCTGGCCCAGTGCTACAGTACGGACATTGGCACAGAATGTCTAAGGACTCTAGGCGTGTCCCTTCTTGAATATAGTTCTAAATGGGGGGAAAAAAGTCAGTTGCATCTAATAAGCTGGCTTAAGTGAATGCCAAAGAAAATTTGTCTCATGAAATGGAAATTCTGAAGCAAGTTACATAATGTTGAGGAAAAAAGACAAATAGTATTTTCAAGATATATCCAAATGGGGCAAATGGTCCATTTTAATCAGAACTCTTCAATCCAACAATATTTAAGTATATTTGGGAAGATCCAAATGGTCCTGGGGATTTGGAAGCTTTTGACCATATAAATATTTACTTTATATTTTCTTTTTTTTTGTTTGTTTGTTTTATTTTTTTTTAATTAAATCTTTATTGTTCAGATTATTACATTTGTTCCTCTTTTTTTTCCCCCCATAACTCCCCTCCTCCCAGTTCCCGCCCCACCCTCCGCCCTCACTCCCCACCCACTGTCCTCATCCATAGGTGCATGATTTTTGTCCAGTCTCTTCCCGCATCTCCCACACCCCTTTCCCCCCCAGGAATAGTCAGTCCATTCCCTTTCTATGTCCCTGATTCTATTATAATCAACAGTTCATTCTGTTCATCAGATTATTTATTCACTTGATTCTTAGATTCACTTGTTGATAGATGCATATTTGTTGTTCATAATTTGTATCTTTACCTTTTTCTTCCTCTTCCTCTTCTTAAAGGACACCTTTCAGCATTTCATATAATCCTGGTTTGGTGGTGATGAACTCCTTTAGCTTTTCCTTATCTGTGAAGCTCTTTATCTGACCTTCAATTCTGAATGATAGTTTTGCTGGATAAAGTAATCTTGGTTGTAGGTTCTTGGTATTCATCACTTTGAATATTTCTTGCCACTCCCTTCTGGCCTGCAAAGTTTCTGTTGAGAAATCAGCTGACAGTCGTATGGGTATTCCCTTGTAGGTAACTGAGTTTCTTTCTCTTGCTGTTTTTAAGATTCTCTCTTTATCTTTTGCTCTTGGCATTTTAATTATGATGTGTCTTGGTGTGGTCCTCTTTGGATTCCTTTTGTTTGGGGTTCTCCGCACTTCTTGGACCTGTAAGTCCATTTCTTTCACCAGGTGGGGGAAGTTTTCTGTCATTATTTCTTCAAATAGGTTTTCAATATCTTGCTCTCTCTCATCTTCTGGCACCCCTATAATTCTGATGTTGGTACGCTTGAAGCTGTCCCAGAGGCTCCTTACACTATCCTCGCATTTTTGGATTCTTTTTTCATTTTGCTTTTCCGGTTGGGTGTTTTTTGCTTCCTCGCATTTCAAATCATTGACTTGATTCTTGCGCTCCTCTGGTCTGCTGTCGGGAGTCTGTATAATATTCGTTATTTCAGTCCGTGTATGCTTAATTTCTAGTTGGTTCCCCAATATAAGATCGAGGGTCTCATTAATTTTCTTGTAGATCTCATTAAGTTTATCGGCGGCTTCTAAACAGTTCTTGAGAGACCTTAAAAGTGTGGTTCTGAACTCTATATCTTCCATTGACAATTTTGTCCTGTTTCTTTGTCTCCGCATTTTGTTATGCTTCCTTGGTGCACCCCCTAGTGGTCTTTGTTCGAAGTCTTATAGTTAAATCTTGATTGTTGTAGCTAATTCCAGGGAGGGTTTGACCTCCAGGCCAAGTGGCTATGCGAATCAGCTGTGTCAGCAGTGAGAGAACTTCTGTCCTCTAGGGAGGTGCTAATCTAGCCTTTGCCTGAAGCTATCCGGCAAAAGCCTCTGTGCAGGGCTTGGGCGGGGCGGGTCGCACAGGATCAACAGGGTGGGCCGGAGAGAGCAGTTATGGCGGCTCTCAGTCCTGTCCCCAGGGGCTCTGCCTCTCTGAGTCCCAGCACCCGCTGCAAAGCTCAGAGAGAAAGCTGCACTCGCTCTGACCGAAGCCAGACAGTCCAGCTTCTCCCGTTTGAGTCTGGGTCCCTAGAGACTCGCCCAGATCTGGAGCTCAGAGTCTGCGACTCCCTCCCGATTGAAAACGCCAACCGCGCCCTCCGCCGCCAGCCCGCTCCGCGCACTCCGCACCTCAGAATTTGACTTCAGCACTGCGCCTCCTCTGAGTGTCCGTGTGCGTTTCTTTTTCCTCCTAGTTGTAGGACTTCCACTCAGCCAGCGTTCCTGTGGTTCTGGGTGATGTCCCTTCTGTCTTTTAGTTTCACTTTTGAAGTAGTTGTTCAAAGCAGCAAACTCCGGCGTTAACCTATGCCGCCATCTTGGTTCTCATATTTTCTTAATTTGTAAGTGGTGACATTTATTAACTTAGATCAGTTTTTAAAAGTTGCTTGGGTATTGGTCAACATGGAGCCATAAAAAATGTATCATGTATCATATTAATTATTCTGCACATTTTTATCATCTGTAAAGAGGAAAAAAACCCACATAAACATTTCCCCTGAAAACCAGCATGATTAAAAAATCTCTTAGTTGCTAAGAATAATGGAGCCAAGTGCTCCAGTTGGAGTATTTGTGAATTCTCTTTCATATATTAGATTTACTTTTAAACCGCTTTCTACCAGTTGCTTCTCAGGCTTCTCTCTCTGTCGCATCCCGTTCTTTTTCATTCTTCCCTCCCTGATCTTTCTCCAGATTTTCATTATCTTTTGTCCAGGATCTTTCTCAGTGTCATAGCTGGTATTTCTGCCTCTCTTCCCTCATTTCTCCATTTTGCCCTTTACCTGGGTGCTAAAGAGCAAGCAAAAAACAAGCAACGAAAGAAAACATATTCCTCAGCTATTATGTTTATGTCACTCCACTAATAAAGAACTTAAAGGATTGCAGAATTAGATTTTCTTTGTTTTCCTCCCATGGAAGTATTTTATCAACATGTGGAACTTTTCCTCATTGTTTGTTTTGTGTGCTTTTCTTGCAGGATCAATGTGACTCTAGAAGCAAATGGATGAATGAGTATCCATATGAAGAGGAAAACAATAAAGGTTGGTTGCTCAAACTGTATAATTGCAGTGAAAATCCTATTTTGAACATGACTTTTGGGCAGATGTTTTCATTAGAGCACTTCCTTGTCTGAATATGAGACGGCGTTCAATACTGAGACATGCGCATCTATCTGTAGAGTGTAATTTTTATTTTTAATGCCTTAAGTATAAGTAAATGTATGAGGAGGCAAACTGTTTTTGTACAAGTCTACCTGTCTTCAGTTTTCAGAACTTAAGTTGGTGTTTTAAGAATTAACTTTTAGATGGAGAGTAGGAAATGGTAAACCAGGTGATAAAACTGATCATGGGGGCAAAGACAAAAAAGAGTAGCCAGATTTTGTTTAATATATATATATATCAGTTCCTACAAGCATAATTCCAATACCAACACCGTATGGTGTGTGATTTCAGCCTGCAAGTGTCCTTAAAATTTAACAATTGGCTCTGATGAGCTGGGGTCCAGCTAACTCGATGTCTCACACCATTGATAATTCATTTCCAAGTAATGAAACAATGTCACATGCTCCTTAACACAATAGGGCAAATGTAGTAAATTTACAATTTCCTGGCTCATCCCTATGTACATATGAAAACCTTCTTCACTCAGTATCATGTAAAATGTATGTTTCCCTTAACTTATGTATGATGTTGATATAATATTACTTTATGTTTATGTTCAATTGTTATTAAATTTTTGTTTGAATGGGTTAGTGTTAGCTTTGTAAGTTTATGCATTTTGACAGTGTCATTGTTCTGTAACTAATTTTATGATAACTGAAGGTGATGGCAAAGAGAATCATTGTGTGACTACTTTCCCTGAGGATGGATTTTGAAAATATTATCATGATTGACTATAATATACTATATGTGGTTCATTCTAAATGATTGTGCCTCATAGCTATAATTCATGAGTTCATAAGTCTTTATAGAGGAAGGAGCAGTGAGGACTTCACTGAATATGTTTTCCCAATGAATTATTTTTTCTATTGCTGTTTTTCATATTTTTGATCCATCCATATTTTCAGTTATAGCTGTCTTAGAACAGATTGCATTTGATGCTTGTTTTAAGCTGGCTTGAATCTGATGCTGTTAGTTTTAACAAAGTCTGATTCTGGGGGAAAATTGCAGAATTTGAACATTTATCTTTTCTAAATATTTTGAATATATTGGTGAGGTCGTTATTAAGATGAAATTTAAAAAAAATCTCAGCAGTGGAAGCAACATTGCCACTGTCTGCATAATTGAAAAGGAATTTGAATATGGCTTGTAAAATTATTTTGTACATTTCCTCCTGTTTGCCAGTGGTGATAAAATCTTTCAAAGAGTCACAGAATATCGTACTGTGTCTTTGTGCTTGGGTTTTAAAATTAACAGTCTAAATAGCATTTGTAAAATTTCTTTTGTGGCTATAAAAGTCTTACTTCCAGGAGCAGTCTTCATCTATCCTTTCCTTAAAAAAAAAATAAAACAAACACACACACACACACACACACACACACACACACACACACACATAATTAAGTTATATTTCTTGTATTCAATTTCTAATTTTTTCTTTTACTCAATTTCATTGCACTTGAAGTTGTCCCTGTTAAAAAACATCAAATAAATTCTAAAAAGCTCCCATATATCCATTATTTTTGCTCCCAAATATTTGCATGAAGTCCTGTCTCCATGCTCTTAAATGCATTTCAGCAGCTGCTGTCGTTGTGAATGAGGTGACTCGTTTGTGGACCCGGCTCCACACCCTGGCTTTACTCCACTTGCTTTCCAGCCGCTGCAGTATGCTTAACCAGGTGCTTCGCAGCAGCTGGCTTAGAGCAGGTGTCCAAAACATGCACATACACATGAATTTGTCCAGCTTATCAGAGCTCACATGAAAACTTCTGCTCTCAGGCTACCTCTGATGAACAGCTGCTTAAACCATGCGGCCTAGCAATGGGTGACTTCTACTTCTTGTGTTTAGAATCTAAGAGAAGGACAATAGCAAACTTTTCTGAGAAAGCTGTAGTTCCTTACAAAATAAAAAAATAAAAAAGTTTGTTTTATAATGATGCCGTGATGGATGCATAGAATGTGGTTACTTTACATGTCTTCTCCATGAAGTTCCAGTTCTTCACACAGGATAGAAAGATTGTAATAGCAGCCACTCAGCCTTCTTTCCATTTAGAACTGAGTCGGTATAGTTGCTCAGAAAGCCCTGTTGGCGGAAATGAAACATTTGTTGTTGGCAAACGTTTATATAGAGTAGCTGCCTAGGCTGTAAGCATGGAATCAAAAACAGTCAAGCCATGGCTCTGCAATTCTCTCTGTATGATCTTGGACCAGTGACTTCTTTCTGAATTTTACCTTCCAAATTGCAAGGTAGATTGCATAACACCTGTCTTACCTATTTCTAGAGTTGTTATGGGGGTGAAAGAAAATATGACATATTTGTGGAAACAATTTAAGATTGTAGAATTCTAAAGCTGTGTGTGGTATTGATGCTATTATTTTCACAGCCTGTGACAGAGATTCACGACATTTTTGTATGACTTTACATCTGAAAGTCAAGCATTTTCAGAAATGGAAGCACCCTCAGAGTTCACTGACTGACACGTGCTTGGTGTGTGTGGGCCTTCTACAGGAGTTGGCTGCTTTAGCATTAGGTTGAGTACTCTTTGGAATTTCCTACAGTGTGAAGCAGTTCATCCTATTTCCAGGCACATATAATTATATTACAAGTTCTTCCTCTTACGAGCCAAATCAGTAGATTGGATAATGACATTCAGTAGGCACATCACATATTTATTATGATATCGTCCTCGATTAGGTCACTCTTCTGTCAAGTCCCTTCCCCTTTGGGTCCCTCATTTCTCTGATCTGGGAAATTAGAACAAAATGATATACAGGGAGTTGAGAAAGATTATGCAATTATTGAAGTAGAATAATGGCTTCCTTATTTGAAAAGATGATGCATTGCTCATTTTACAAACATTAAAGCAGGCAAAACCCTATTGTCTCCCCGCCTCACGCCTATCAACAGTGGGTGAACAATATTTACAACATCTCTGTGTGAATACATGCAAGTAAATAGAGGCAGTTTTACAAAAATTTCCAAAGAAGAGTTTTTTTTTCACTTTGCTTCCAATATAATGGAAGAAATAGAAACTGAATTTAAAATGAACCATTTATTAATTTCTAGCTGATGTCCTATCATCAAAGTGATGCTGTTACTTAAGAGTTAAGGGAGAAAAAAAAACCACCTTTTGAGTTCTGGCAATTCTGCTTAGACGGAATTTAATTTTCAACATCTTTTGACTTTTTGCTAAGAAAGATGGGAAATTGATGGTATTTCTTTCTAACTACCTTTCCCTCTTCCTGTTTTACTACCTTTTCAAAATTGAGGTTATTATTCATTATTTCTGATTATTAGTCATAATTATGAGAGCTATTTCATCTTCATTCTTATTTTTCCCAGAAATATGAAAACAAGGCCTTACTGTCGTCTGGCATCTGTGTTCCTGTGAAGGCTGATCATTCATGTGTTCTTGTGTTGCTTTTTGGGCAGATATCCATGGACTATTTTTAGTAAACTAAGAGTTAAGTAAATATATCGATTTTTGTCTGGTTTTTATCATCTATATTGGTTTTTCTTGGCTTCTGCCACTGACGTCTAAGAAGTAGAGTCTGTTTTTATGTCTTCAGATTTTAACATTATAATGAAAAAATATTTTCTATTTGTTTTGCTTTCTACTTTAGTAACCCTGAAAATATGTATAATGTTTCTCCTTGATTTTCCATATCTGTAATCTTCCCCTTTAACTTTTTATTTTTCTTACTGTGCTTTTCCATTAAACATTTTTTTTCTTACTATGTTCTCAGTCAAATTATTTATTATTTTGTACTTGCTTAAGTGGCTTTTTATCTCTGTAGTATTTATAGCTCTGTCAGCATATTTTTTTCACATGTTTTAGTTATCTTCTATTATATCATTTGAACCCTTGTACTTCTTCCTTGAACTTTTTTTTTTTTTTTTTTTTTTTTTTTATTAAGAAAGACCCCTTTGTTTCTAATTCATTTTTGAGTCTACGAAGTGCTATTTGTCTCAATTCTTCATCTGTTTCTTTGGGTGATTTTTTCAGGGATGTTTGTTCTTCACTGGCTTTTGCTTACATTTCTCTCTTGCTTTTGATATTATCTGCTTTTTGCACAGTTCCCTCGTGGCCTCTCTCTGATTGTTACCCATCTGTAAACGGGGCCAGTAGATTCTAACATTGCAGGTGGTACTGTGGGCAGGGGCACAAACAGTTTGGGTATGAGCTAGATGAGTCCAAATCTTTGATTTGTGCTTATTTCAAATACTTTCTATATAAAAGTGTCACTTCCAGAGTTTCCCTCGGTTTCCATTTATGGCACAGCCGCTGAGACAAAGGTTCCTGTCTCCATCTCTCTGCCATTTCTAGCAGACCCCTAATAATAATGCCTACTCCATAAAGTTGTTGTGAAGATTAAATGAAAAAGATAATGCTACAGAATTTGCCTATTGCCTGGCTGTTACTAAGCGCTCATTAAAATGGCCATTTTTATTATTTTAAGCCATTTTAATTGTATTTTGAATGTAGTTAGTTCAGTTTTAGGAGAATTTGCTGCTCAGGCCAGTATTTGTATATATATATATATAGGGTGTGCCTATATTTGTATATATACACATACACTCACATACACACACACACACACACACACACACTTTAACAGCTGATAACTCACTTAATTTCACTCCTTTTCAGATTTAACTAATGTGAAATAATGAGTGAAGCTTGGAACAAAGAAAATTTATTGTAAGGTGCCACTAGACTTTTCTAAAAAATATGTTTTTATTGATTTCAGAGAGAGGAAAGGCGTGGGGAGAGATAGAAACATCACTGATGAGAGAGAATGCCCTCATGCCCCCCCAATCCGGGCATGTGCCCTGACTGGGCATGGAACTATGACCTCCCAGTTCATAGGTAGATGCTCAA